CTGGCTTGCTGATAACAATATGAATTCTATTCCTGATATATCTGTCGAGGAGTTTGATTTGTTTTTTTCGTTTCCTGAATCCTTTTTATAAAAAGATGTATTTTCCTTTTGTTCGTATTTTTTGACCACGTGAAAGGTTATACCCCGGTGTGCTATAGTTAATTTTTTACGTATTATACCTTCTTAATCATTACATAACTAAATTTCAGTGTATACATTCTTGGTGTATTAAAAGGCCTTATTAGGGCATTAAATTTTTAAATAAAGCATAATAATAATAATAATAATAATATATAAATTTATATATTAATAATTATTAATTAATTATAAATAATATATATTTTCTGTGCTATTTCATTAGGTGGTTTTGTCCGTCCATATCACCAAAGGCTATAAATTGTCATGTGTTTTACTATACAGATAGTCAAAAAAAGAAATCGAAAATGTGCCACCTCATTTGTTCTTGTTATACGTGTAATAAAATTTCTCTACCCATTTCTTTAACATTATAAAACTCAAACAGTTATTCAGCATATGAAAGATATTATTTTTTCGTTTCTTTACGCTGTTTTTTTCTTCTTACTTGTAAAAGAGTAGAAAAATACTGCACAAATACTGCAAAAGACTAAACGAAGTAAGAGACTAAATGCCGCAAAAAACTAAAAGAGTGACAGATATAAAAGTATGAAAGAATAATAAGCTAAAATGAGAGCTGTAGCCTTGTATGTAAGCTAAAAGCGTCTGGGAACAAACAAGAAATCTCTCGAAAACGATAAACCTTGAAATTTCAAAGATCTGATAACAGAAAGTCAGTATGATCCTGAAACATACGATACTTATGTCGACGTTCACCTCTGCTAATACATAATTTTTACATAATATCATTCCCGCACTGAATCGTTGAGTCCTTATCTCCTGGCCAATAATATTAGAACTGCAGAACCAAAGTCTAACTTTGTGGTGAGGTTAGAACCGAATGCTACAACGAGTTTTGCGCAGCTTTGTGCAACATAGGGTGACCAGCAGTTACAATTTTCTTGTTGTCGTTGTGTGTGTTTGAAAAAGTCCTAGGATGTACCAACGTGTATCAAGTATGTATTTATGAATATTACATAGTTCGCAAATGTACGTTAGACATTGTGACCTATATAAAAGAATGTTCAATATGTTTTTTTGTAGAAAATGAAACGATGAATCTTTAAAAAAAGTTGAAGCCTGGACAGCGAAACTTGAGCAAGATAGTAACGAAATACTGAGACCGCCATTAATTCTGTACCACCCGTTACGTTACCTATGATTTTTTAATGATCATATTGAAAATATTAATTTTGTCCGAGTAATCAATACAGTATTTCCCACTCCAATATTATTACAGGAATGTTGAACGCCGACACAAAAGTATGGAGTTACAAAATTTTCAATCTTTGATCCCTATGCTATCGCGCATTTCTGGACGTTTATTCTAGCAATAGCACTTCGAAAACCTTTTCTTATCAGTATTCTAGATGTTAACATGTCGTTCCCGTTTATTAAAGCGTAGTCGTAATCGTCTCTTATTACTGAGAAGGGCCAGATACATATGGTGTACCTTCATAATACTTGTGATGGTATCTGTTATCTTTTATCTATGTGTTACACGAATTTATTTAGTACCTCAGTTAGATATTAATAAATTATGTGCTTTTAATCTGCAAAACTTCTCGTCTTTAACAGACGTGAATTATAAAGAACCAGCTCGTTATTCCATCGTATCCATCATTATAAGCCCTTCAGCTTATCCCCATCCATTTTTAGAAAGTAAATCAATCTATGCTGATTTACATAACTATCAATTACAAATTTATTATCATCAGTTAGATTATTCGAGAAACATATTTTGGAATAAAGTTCTGACAGTTGCAAGGATCACAAAGCAGTTGAATAGTTCAATTACCTGGATTTGGCTATTAGATTATGATACGTTAATATTTAACTTTGCTATTAGTTTAGAAGATATAATCGAAAAAGAAGCTGCGGAGTCAACCGATATACTTTATACTACCGATAGTAATGGTCTAAATGGCGGCTCAATTTTAATTCGTAATTCCCGATGGATCCAAGAATTTTTATTACCCCGATGGTATAATACAAACAATGAAAGCATACCTCGAATCGGAAAATGGTGTGAGCAAGGCTCGTTAGATCATCTGATTAATACCGATCCCGAAATCAAACGGCATGCTGTTAATATTGATATACGAAAGATGAATAGCTATGGTGGCCGAGTAGATGGGACGTCGGCTCGCTTTCGCGAGGGTGATTTCTTGGTTCATTTCCCAGGAAACGGTTTCAAATACTGGATGAATGGTTATGCTAGGATATGGTCTGAAATGATGGGTAAAGAAGGCTGTGATCTTCGAAACCGATGGTTTGGGTGGTAACAATCAATATGACCTATGACATACTGAAAGCTTGATATGTAAGTTACGATCGAGATTAGAATCTTGCAAAACAGAATGCTGTCTATTCATATTCCAATCGCCCATCTTCACAAATTTTTCAAAATCGTCCAGACGTGATCGTCACAACTGATTGTTGATCCATCTCTTACGAGGAATCATTCTCAAGTGACCAACTCAGTTTTTATTCGTTCATATGTGGATCGATAGAGTATATTGAAATAGTCAAAAGACTAAAAGGATTTAAGTTCTTATTGCTTCTTGCGCAAGTTATTGAACCCTTTTGAGATTTTCCTTCAGAGCCTTAAAAGACTCAATATTTTAGTTTCATAAAGTTTTCTCTCCTTGCGTATGTATTTAAAACTTTTTCTTATGCATAGTCTGACAGAAAAAAGCCTTCTCTTCAAACTCAGATGTCTCCCAGAATTTTCCGATGAGTTTGGATGGAGATATAAGCATCACTGGAAATACCCCAAAAAATAACTTTTAGAAACTAGAGGATTCTGGTACATTCAATATTTTAATGAATTTTGGTAAAAGGTGCAAATCAAAAAGCTGTATCGTTGCTGAGGAATTGAAATTTTACGAAAAGCCCTGAAAAACGTGGATTCCACTCCACCATCTTGAAAATTTGCCAACTTTAAACTCATATAATTCAGTAACAACAGATTACTTAACCTTAAAGATTTTACCATAAATGGTGGATAGTGCGAACTAAAAAACCACACAATCACGAGCTTAAAACATGCCTACGTTATTTCGTAATAGATGGTGCACTACGAGCCCAAATCCAGAAAACCCTGTATATTTCTGTAGCGGCCGTTTGAAACAAAATCGAGTGTGAGACTTTCAACCATATTTCCAAATAGATTATACGCCAAAGCATAGCTCCACTCAGCTAATTGCAATCCAAATGTTTTTATTGATATTAGGCTCGAGCGTCTCTATGTTTTACTCGATATTTATGAAAGATTAAATATTAATAAAATTATATTATCTCAATTGAGTAGTGAATCATCAGTATTACTGCTGTCTGGTAGCGCTTGTACAGATAGATTATATACCGTTGGTGAGCAAACATTATCGACTACATCTGATTCATGGTTAGAAATGAATGATGAATCAATTAAGACGACAGAACTACTATACAAAACCACTCAAATCTTCTATAGTCAGTTTTTGTAAGCATACACGTTCGTTAAATAGTTTTAGTACTTTATATAATATTTTTGCTAAGAATTTTCATTTCCAAATAACACAAAAAATGAGTGAAATCAGCGATTTTGCTCATGATATACTTATTTCCAATAACAAAACGTTATGCAACACTTAGTTTTGACACTCTTTCACCTGATGTAATGTTAAAAGAAAAACAATGTACTTTCTATTCGAAAACGCGAATATTTAAAAATGAAAGGTTTTTCATCAGTTTCTACCTGTTTTCACCATCAGCATATTTGTCTATATTACAATAAATATGATATTCGTAACATACATTAATAACTGAGTCGAGTTGTGTGGTTGATGAAGTCTTTCGATGATGATTCAGTTTTTTAGTGACAACGTTAAATTTAGTGGGATCTGAGAAATTTTGAAAAAAAATTGTTTAATCGGTTATCAATACCTATAAAGAAATCAAGCAAGTGCTCAATATTTTTTTATAGTTTTCTTTGATCTATTGATTATTGGGCATTTTTCTTGTCTATTTTGTCTTTTTCGTGTTAAATATTTTTCATTTGTTAATTCATCTTCTTTTGATCGATGAATATCGAAGAGATTTTTATCACCATTCAGTTTCTGCCATTTTTTGAATTCTTTTTTATTTCGAATATTAATTGTTGGATATTGTTCTGTATCAAAATACAAATGGTGCAACAGATGTGAATATATCTAAATACATAGAACAAATTATAAATATAGGTTATTTCCTCTACCCCTAACTGTCCTTCAAAAGGACATTACGATAAAAATTTCTATAAAAAAGGAACGAGAAAGAAAATAATTTCTAATGTAAGTTGACAATATAAGCTAGCGGCTGCTAATAAGAAAATTTGTCTTTATCAAGCCTTAACAAAGGTTTACGAATGTCAAGTTCATCTTTAACGATCAGCAGCTGATAGTAAAGAGTTATAGAACCAAACTGGTTCTAAAATAGAAAAAGCATACAATAAAGGATTTGAAACAATCGTTGCCATTGTGGTTGTTAAAAAAATAGATTTCTTCTATATTTTTCAATACATTCCCAAGATATCACAGCAATCTCTTGCAGCTTCCAAATACATAACCACATGGCTTCTGTAAATCTTTTATGAACAATGAACATTCACTAGGGTTCTAGGATTCAAGGATCCTTAGGATCCTTGGGATTCTAGGGTTCTTAGGATTCTTAGGATTCTACGATTCTGAGGGGTGTGGGGTGAGGGTGAGTCGAGTGTGTTTCCGTAAAAAGCAGGTCTGACTATTTGTCATGTACTTTTTTAAGAAAACATTTTCCAGGGAGCGGACGGATCTTAAAATCTTGAAAAAAACTTGCCTTATGCACTTCTCTCATCATGACTCTTATAGTGTATGTCTTGTTGAGATGGTGCACGTAGTAGTTGGCAAATAAAGGAAAAAATTGAAGGTTCCAAAAGAATCATGAAGAGACATTTACGCGAGGCAAATGACCATCGTACATAGTGAAGGGCGCCCTATTGAAAGTGGAAAGAAAAATGAAACTATGAATAGAGAGAAACAGAAATAACGGATCAGATTATGATTATTATTGATTTTGGTCGTTTCTAATGAGAAACACAAAATAGTGTTTATCATTATAGGCTACACGTCAGGATTTTTGACAAGAAAGAGACGAGATGGAAGTTTGACAAAGAACCGGAGAAAAATTATCGGCTATTGACTTGTCGTTTTCTAGAATCCTGAGAATCCTAGAATCCTGTCGGGGCGGTTCAATTTGAACTACTCAACTACCGAAAATTTGAGTTTGCGGCAAAGGGAAATTCTCCATAAGGTCGATCACTATAGAAGTATGAGAAACTGACTTACATCGTTTATCAGTGGTTGTTCTAGAAATACATTCAGAAGTGACCACGCCGGATATTGATGGAACCATTGATCCAGGATTTCAATGAATGAAACTCGACATGTTTTTAGTAATGGTAAGGACGCACTAAAGAGTATTTCTGTTAATATTTCATGGATGAAAAATCTGTGTTGAATATTAACTGTTAATTTTTCTAATTTTGTTATTTGTGTTAATAATAAAATAATCTCCTCAATTGAAATATCGTTCTTATCAAAATCGAATTTAATTTCTTTTAAATCTTGTAGTATCAAAAATGATCGTTTCTGACTATTAGTAGACCTTGAACTATCTAAGATACCAATAGAAAGCGAGGACAGAGTAGCTCTGTTAATTAAATTTAGATCTAAATATTTTAGTTTAGGCATATAGGCAAATAACAATCTCAATTCACTAAAGTGGAAACCACTGTTTATGATTGTTAAATATTCAATTGATGACGATTGTTGATATGATCGTAGTTCAAGTTCATGAAACGTTGGTATTGTATAATTTTCGATAAACAATGATAAATATTTTAAATTTGTTAAATGAAATATTTTTGTACACATAAGATTTAATCGATCAATGCTGAGGTATTTCTCCGATGTTTGAAGTGATAGATGAATCAAACGGCTACCTATCTGATCTATCTTTTGCTGAAAAGCTATGCCAGAACTAGTTTGGATAGGTCTATTGCGATCATCGCTGGTGTCAATTAGAGCTATTGACACTAGTAAGTGAAACTGTATCCGTGATAGTCGATTTGAGATAGGGATGCACCAGTTGCAGTCTTTACCCTGATTTATTAACCAGTTTTCACTGGGTACCCAAGCTGTTAGAGATCAAGTGATTTGTTACAGGAATTAAGCAGACTGACTAACCTAAAGCCTTTAAACCCACAAGAAGAGATGGCGAAGAGAATCATTTTATCCTTGCTCCGTATTCGCACGATAAAAGCAGTAGAAATTAATGTCATCTCCTAGCATAGGGTTTTGCCCCATGGTGTTAATAGTTCTAACTGCCACCAGTTAGTATAGCAGTTCACTTAATGGTGTCAACAGCTCTGATTAACACCATACGGCGGGAACGCCAGCGATTTCGAACTAGTTCATTCTCGTCTTTAACAAACTTGACAAACGTCTCTTCGTTTTCCTTCGTTCAATGTTATCCTAAATTATGTTACAATCGAGATTATTTCCTTTAACACAGAAAATGCCGACACATCGCATGGCATAAAGTCTTACTTATTGTACTAATATCAGAAAAAAACCATTTCATTAAATCAGATTGAGATGGAAAATATGTTTGATTTCCATCTTCTATCGTTAATGCTTTAATTTGTTTTGTACTTATATATGGAATAATATAATCAAATAAATCATCCAGTCGAATAAAAGCTGAACATTTGAAATGGAGACAACAGTTTTTAATAAGTAAATGAAAACGTTTATTTAAATAATAAAAACTGTTGTAAATTTCATTACCATTTAAGTAATCAAAAATATCGTATAAAAGTTCGTTGGGTAATTGTTCGAATTTACTTATTGTCGACGGCATTTTTTAATATGAACCTATGATGTTGTACTCGCCGTTTTATCAGTGAAAGTTACACGTTTGTGGGACTTTCCCTCATGTACCTTTAGAAAATGGCATTAGACGACAATTTATTATCTAAATTACGTGAAAAAGAATAAAAAGATTTACATACTGATTCATAATTTACCTTTATTAAATGTAAAGAGAAGAAGAAAATCGTTATGCTTTATTTAGAAGAGAGAAATAAGAAAAAGGCACTGTTGTGCACTTGGAGCACAAAAAACAAGTGTATAAAGTTGCGTTTGACAAATCTATAATACTTCAAACATCTTTTTGTTTCTCCACTATAAAGTCTATTTTCAGTTGATTATTCACTGACATATTTCAAAAATCGTGAAGCAAACCAAAAATATTATGTAAAACAATGGCAGTCATGAGTACGTTAAATTGTATTATTTATTTCCTTTCGTTCTATCTCTTCATTACGAAACTGTTTTCAAATTGATAAGAAATTCGAAGAGAAAAAAATATGTTAACAGAACGGAAAAAAGGCAAAAGTAAATGCAACACAGTAGTTTTCACGTAAAATCAGTTTTTCGTTTGTTTCTCAAACAAGAATCATAGTACGTTATGATCTCTATTATATTATGTTTGAACAGAAACTCAGTTTGAATATAACACGACAATATTGTTTTGACTTGCATCTAATGGTATTATGATTTTTCATCTCGCCTTACGGCTAGTTTCGCTCGAAGCAAGCATTTCGAAGCAAAATTCTGAGCTAAAAAAAGAAAAAAAATCTTCGGCGAGCCAAAAACCAGCCATATTTTCAAGGTTTGAATTTTTTCTTCAAACCTTCCCGGTTTGTAGAGGACACTTCGAAGTGTATGTTCGGAAGTTTTTTCGGCTTACCGACATTATTTGGCTGAGAAGTACGAGACAAATGCTTCCTGTTGTCCTTGTTTCCGGTCAGCCATGTTCGACCCTACTGTGGCTCGAGTTGTGATCGTAGATGGAGTGAATTATTTTTCGAAGGCGTGCCGGAAGCTCGGCCAATCCTGGATATTGTTATCGTTGTCCATCCACCACTTTTTTGTGTTGTCGTCTACATAAAACACAATATTTCTCCACCCAGTTGTCAATCCAACATCACGTCCGACAAGA